AGTGGAGCGCTCCCGGGCGGCGGCGGCGGCGGCCTGCTGGACCCACCCCGAAGGCGCCGGCGGCGGCCCCAGGCAGACCCGGAGGGTGAGTGGCGGGGCGGGCGGGGCGGGGGCAGCGCCGCTTTCGGGGGGCGGGGGCCCTCCGTGCAAGCGGGGCCCGGCCCGGCCCGGCCCGTGGGGAAGCGCCGCCCGGCCGCCAAGGGCCGTGCTGGGGAGGGGGCGCCTCGCCCGCCCCGCCCCCGCCCCGCCCCGGCCCCACAACAGCGGGGGCGTGGCCTGGCGCCTCCAAGTGGGGTGTCCGGCTGGTGGGGTGCAGGCGGAGGCCTGCCTGCTCCCGATGGGGAGGGTGGCCGGCCGGGGCCGCGCCGAGGGCCCGGGCCGGGGTGCCCTTGCGGGGGGCAGTCCTCCTGGGGGCCCCACGGGGGTGTGGCCTCCTCCTCGGAGGGGCTGCGGGCGAGGATGAGGGGGCGGCTTTCCCAGGAGGTGAGGAGGGCGGGGAAGGTGGAGGTCGGGAAACCCGGTAGCTAAGAACAAGGTTGTTTGGGAGGGTGGGCAGCTAATGCACATCCAAGGCGTGTGGCTCTCGCTAAGGTTTTGCCCCCCCCCCCACGAAACAATCCCCAGATTGGCTCACAAAGTCTCCCAGTGAAACCGCAGGTTGAAATATGCACATTTCTTCTGCCTCCTTCCACCATGGCCAAGAAGTGATGTGTATGCGGGGGGGGGGCATGTCTCCTCCAGGAGAAATGAGGTCAAGCCCCCCCCCCCCGGTTGCTGATATCTTTGATGTAATTTGTGGGATCAGCACCCTGAGTTGCGGAGGTGTGTGCTTTCTGCAGGGTTGGAGTTTGCCCTGGTTGAGACACTGTCCCGTCTCTGTGAGTGTGGAAGGAGCTTGCACTAGGGCAGGTTCATGCAGGGGGCAGAGCCAACAGTGGGAAGGGAGCTGACCATGTCTGTAGCTAATAGGACGGGTTTGTAGGGTACAGAGCGGTGGGATTCCTGGCTAATGCATGCCCTGGCAGGGTTTGCAGGTTTCTTCCCCTTCTGTTACGGGGGGCAGAGCTCTTTCCCCTTTGTGTGGGCATCCAGCAGCTTCCTCTGGTCATGGAGAGGAGAGTGGCTTCCGCCACCTCGCTGCACGTCTTCTGAGGCCGCCTGCAAGGGGAAAAGTGCAAGCTTTGCTTGCTTGAGGGAATAGGCTGGGCTGGGGGAGAGTTTTTCCTTCCGGGGAGTGGAAAGCTCCTTCTGTCTGGAAAGAAGGGCCCCACTCTGCATTGGTGGCTAGTAGTCGCGAGCTGTGCTTCTGTGCCCTCGGACCAGCGCTTGTGGTCACAGAAAAGTCTTCCCAAGTAAGCAGCAGCCTTTGTAGCTCTGCAGAGCCGCAGAAAGCCGGGCTTCTTACCCCAAACACAACCCTGGAGATGGGTTTGGAGTGTGTGTTTTGCACCCTTGAATTGTGGGGTGCGGAGAAGCAGGAGCAGCCACAATTGTGCTTCCCAAGAAGGTCTTCCTGGGAAGGAAGGGATCACTTCCTCTCCCTCTCAGTGGGAGGGCCAGCCGGACTGCTAATGGAGGGGGGTTACTGCAGGAGCGTGGTCGTGGGTCCCTCTGATTTGCCCCAGCCCTGCAGGGCAGCTTGGGAAAAAAGGTTGCATTTTTCGGTACTTGTCTCACCTGGCGATTTTTTAAAAAGAGGAAAGAAATGCTTCACCCATCATCAAGTCCGTTGGTATGTATCGGGCACCTGCTTCTTTCAGACTGATGGGAGGAGGTGAGCTTCTGTGCAAAACCCACCTTTTCACTCTGCCCCTGTTGCTAATTGATGACAGTGACCTGTTTTAGAAATACCTTCTGTCGATTTCCTTCAGCCATGTCTGTTCTGACAGCCCAACAGCATTTTCATGCATCCAATTCAAGTACCCTTTGAGATCTCAGTATCGGGGCCTGAGTGTGCAGAACATCACATGAGAAAAGCCATGCCGGATCGAACCTGTTCCTCCTTTTATTATATCCTGTCGCTGAAGTACCTTGTTCAGGGCTTGTTGGAAGACTGTTTGAAAATATTCTCAGTGGGTGCAGTAAATACTGTCATCTCTCTGAGGGGTGTGGTACAAGGAATTAAGTGAAATTTAAAATCACTTTGTCATGTGTATAATAATAGCGTTATCACCTGAATATATTGATAAATACCGTGACAAATACCTGGAACTTGGTGTGGCAGTTCCTGTAGCCAAAAGGAAAGGATGGAAATCTCGATCTTCCATTCATCTTTGCTATATGTGGTATTTTTAGGAATTGCTTGGATCCAGTAGCATTTCTTACATCGAGCAAGCGGTGCCCGGCCCTCTGGCCACATTCGGTGATGCTGCCTCTGGGTGTGCTCCAGATTTGGTGGCATGAGTGCTGTTTATGGGCCGTACGCCACCTTCCTGTCCAGGTGCTCGCCTCTACGGAAAGGGTGCTATTTCTGTGGCGCTCCCTGAACTCATAGGAAGAGAGATGCCTTGCGGGGCATATAAGTCCATACTCTCCGTGCCCCTTTGGCTTCCAAGCTATGGCCACCAAGAGTGGCTTTAAGGCACAGTGTAACCGCGCATAGCGCATTCTTACATAAATCCTGCATCCCCACGACTGGAAATTGGGTGCAAGATGGCCGTGGATTTCTGTACCATACACCTTGCACATGGCTGTCTCTGCTATGGCGTTACTTCCGTGCAAACGTTCGAACTTCCTAAATTGTAGACTTGTGTGTTGTGTTTCTCCCTTTTCTAAGTTTGTTTGCTACCGATGCCGGAGAGCAAGTGCATCTGGCTGGGGCTGACCTTCCAGGTTAAATTCTTTGCAATGTTGTATTAATTCCTGCCAGCTTTCCTCTGTGTCACTTGCTTATACCTCCCCAAGCTCTGTCCGTGTGTTACTGATGTCGATTTCATTTTCTCTCACTGAAACCTCCAGCCTCCCCTTAACGCCGTAACAGTCTGTGCAAGGAAGCAATCATTTTGGATAATGGCTTTAAGTGCACTGTTTTCATTAAAAATAATAGTTGGATATGAGCACCGTGACTTCTATGTATGCCATATTTTTATTAGGCTTTGAATATGAGATAAAGTGACACAAACTTGTATTTTTCTTTCCTTTTTCTTTTTAGAATGTCCCCTTGTTGTTTGAGCTGCAGTTTTGGAAGCCGAAACGGCTTGCTAGGGAACGAGCACGAGGTTAAAACATCTTGGGGGTGCTTCCGACCCATGTTTTGGTGTGCCGTGCCTTTCTCTCAGGCTGACGCTCCCTTTACTGGTTGGGGCGGCCCAGCAGCTGCTGGTCTGGGCAAAACCGAAAATGGCTGGCCGAGTGAACAGGAGGGGAAAGGTGTGGCCCCCGCCCCATGTGCGATCCAGGGCCGCGTGCCCCATGCCGGACCCGCCTCGGTGTCTCCCTTCTTGTGGCAGAGGCTCGAAAGGGGGAAGCCGTTCAGACAGATGAGGATTGATTAGCAAACTGACCGACAGCAGAGCCATGCCTTTTTCCGTCGTAGATCAATACGGCGCAGTTGTATCTGGGGGCACACGGCTCTGTGTAAATATTATGATGTAAAGCACATTCCGTCCAAGCACGTGGCAGGCATCTTCAAGGAACCTGACCTTCGAGAGGTGGGGTGGAGTCAAACTTTGCTGGGCCTGCGGAGAACAGTTTCTCAATAGGGTCATTTTGGAGAAGCAGATGTTTTGGGGAGGGGATCTAAGCTGTGGCTTTGTGGGATCGGGGATTTTTACCTTCCTGCGGGATTTTGAATGGTCCTGGTTTTATCAGGGCCGCAGCCCGGGTTGTGCTTATGCACGGCATATTTAGTGGGATAATCTGAATACATGTTTTTAAAATCTCACATGGATTGTGTTAATTAGACTGGATCCCGAAACCTCAATAATGTGCTTGCATCGGTAGTATATTCAAAAGCGCTATCTGTTCATGGCTTTTGCTTCAGAAGCGTTTTCCTGGTAGACAAATTAGGCATCTTTTTCTTTCTTGTCCACACCAGGAATAAAATGGATTTTGTTTCTATGAGGCCTTGTCCTGTCTCTTTGTTTTGGACCCTTCAAACTGGACAAGCATTTCTCTGCTCTACCATTTCTCCAGCCGGATGCATTAAATACCTAATGGCCAGGTCTGTATGCAATGATAATGCTGTTTTTTAAAAACCCTTGATTGCCACAAGCCAGCGTGCTAGCTTAATTTACTCCCTCTTGGCTCCTCCTGCCAGCAGGGGGAACTAAATGAAGCACCCTTGGGTTGTACGGAATGACTTCTCAACCTGGAGCTTTGACTTGCTTCTCTCCTGACAAGCCGGAGTGGAACAGTCCAGCTTTGGCTTGTCAGGGAAGAAACAAGCCAGAATCCTGAGTCTGAACGTCACACTAAAAACCCACCCACAGAAGGTCCTGGGGCTGGACGGCTCTGCCTCACTGGCAGCCTCGGGCACGGGGGCTAACACACTGGCTTGTTCACAACTCAAGGCAGTAAAAACCCCGTCTTGTTTTCCGAGCGCGAATGGGGATTGAATCGCATGGCCTTTTGGCCCGGCTATTCATTTTCTCTCTCGACCCATGAGTGTATTTTTTCCCTGCCCAAGGAGAGAGTTGAGTATGGGGGATAAAACTGGTTGACAGCTCTTTCTGTCTTTACTGGGAAGGCCTTCTTGCCAAGAGTGGGGTTTTTTAATGGCTGCTCGACTAGCCCAGAGTTTATAAATTCCTCTTTGTTTTGAAGAAGACTTCAGTTATGTGCCTGGGGGAAGTATTTGAATCATTAGGGGAAAGTGGGGGAGATGGCCAGTTAGTGTGGTTGGATGAGGAGGTGGCAGACAAATTAAACTCTTGATTTCTACTCCTTGTTCTGGTTTTCCTCCCAGTCAGTGAGGTTTGTTGCTCTGGTCAACCGTTGGGCCTTCTTTTGTGGCTGTTGACCACCTGATTGTTCTGCAACACCACCCTCCTTGTCTGTGACTGAGGCTGAAGAAGCCAAAGTGGTGCCTAGGCCCGCCTGGGGGAGTCGGGCAGGTGTTGGCCTTGGCTGGCCATGTCCTGCTGGGTGCTCAGTCCAGGGCTGGAACGGGCATAGGGCCTGAGGAAGAGCCACTGCCGTGTGGCCTTCCTCCCCTCTCCTGCGCTCTCTCCATGGCTCCTGTTCGGACGACTGCCAGTCAGGTCCGCTTGGTTTCCGTGGGGCCCTGGGATGAGGGACGCCTCCAGGCCTTGGCCACTGCTGGGCCGGACTTTTTCCTCTGGGCAGGAGGATGGTGGTCTGAGCGGAGGGTCTCTTGCGGTCTGTCCTTTTCCATGGTTAGAAAACCCCTCCGGTGCAGGGGTGCGGGGCTGGCTATGACATAGCAGAGCCCCTTCCTGTTCCTCTTGACCAGCGCAGGGCACACCTGAGCCGAGGGCAGTGGGCACAGGTGGAGAGCTCAGGACGGGACACGGCTCTGGGGTGGGAGAGGGGATTTGCGTGTGCTGAAGGGGGTTGTGCTCCTCACGGGAGGACAGGCACGGAGTTCAGTGTCTTCCGGAGAGTGGAGCCGCCTTGAGCCGCTTGGCCTGTGGCACAAGTGCCGGGATCTTTGCATTGCCACCGTGGACGGTCCATGGAACGGCCTTTCGAAGATGGCGGCAGACGCTGGCGAGTGCTGAATCTTGTTGCGTGTCTCCTGTGCTGCCGGTTAGCGTCACGTCGCTGGCACTGTACAACGCGCGGAGAAACCAGTGTTACGGCGTGCTTACCTGGGTCAGACTCCTGGTCTGTTTAGCTTAGCATGCCCTGCACTGACTGGCAGCAGCGGCTTCCCTGGGCCTCCGGCAGGCAGGGCGACCTTCCTTTCCACCAGCAGTGAGCTTTCTCACTTTCTCGAGATGTGGCCTCTCCTGTGCTCCGTGCCTTCTCGGATTCCTGCATCTTCCTCGGCCTCCGCGCATACTGCCTCTTGCTCTGCTCTGCTCTGCTCGCCGCGACTTCCTCTTTCTCAGCAGGCCGGCCTCCTGGGTTTGGCCCTCTTTGGGTGGGGTGTCGCTGCCGGCAGCCTGATTCTTGCTGATAGTTGGCTTTGCATCAACTTCGGTGTGGAAGGACCAGAGGGGAGCAGCACCCACCCCAGAGGTTCCTCTTCATGCTTTCTAAAACCAGCAAGGACCCCCAGACGGCCTCCTGGCCATCAAAATCAGGTACAACTGGCGGTGAAAAATTCGGGACAAAATGCCCCCGTGCTGCAGCACTGTCAGTGGGCCGGCACCCAGGTGCCACGGAGGGGTGCTTGGCTGCTGCCTCCCTTCCGATCCCTCAGCCGGCGCAGCTGGTTGCTGCGAGGACAGCTGTCTCATTCGAAGGGGCTAGGCCTGTGCCGGAGGGAAGCCCACGTATTGGCAGTTTAAATGCAAAGTGAGCCCAGGAAAGGTTTGGTGGCGGGACAGTGAGGGCTGTAGCCCCGGGATCGTTCAGTTGCGTGTCTGCCGTGCACACCAGCCGTAAAAGTACCCGGCGCCGTTTTCCCTTACCTGCCCCGTCCAGGTGTGCCGCTGCCGGTGTCGTCAGCGGCTTGAAAGGAGGATTAAAAGCTGCCTTCAGACATGGAAAGCCTTCCCTGCGCTGGCTTGGCTACCTGGAGGTGATCCCTGCTGCGCGCACACGCCTACTTCAGGAAGCACATAAGCGCCAGCTCCGAGCCGCCGAGCGCCAGTCTGAGATGGGCAGCTGGTCCGGCTCGCGGGGAAGGATGCTTGCAGACGTACGTGAGCAGGGGAGGCCCAGGTCCAGACGTGGCCTCGTGCACGTGGCGGGGCCACCAAGTTCCAGGGCACTGCTGCCCTCGCGGCCTTTTGGGACGGCGGCTTTTTTTGCCAGAGGTCTAGGAGGACAAACGTTGGGAAGGCTTGGGGGGGGGGGGGGGAGAACGCCTTTGGCCGTCGTCTCGAAGCAGAAGAGCGGTCCTGGGCACTTGTAGAGAGAACTCCCCTGGTTCAGCTGTCAGAGCGGCTCTCCGTCGATGCGTCACATGCATTCCTCTGCCGGGCTCCGCTGAGGTGCAGGTTTGCTTGTGGCTCCGAGAACGCCACTCGCATAATCCTCGTTTGGCTCTGATGAGCAGAGATCGGCACCAAACCCTCTGCTGCAGCAAACCGTGCTTTGGTGGCGGGCAACGTTTAATCTCTGTGTTCCGGCAGCTTTTCTTCCGCACGCGAGATGCAAGGGCCAGTGTAGTGCCGTGCCCCATATCCCGGGCTGATCAGCCAGTCGCCCCGGTGGGAGCCCTGCAAGACGCACGGGGGCAACGCTGCTCTCCTGCCAGCCTCCCCCTGCAGCGTGCATTCTGAGGCAGGCGCCCTCTGATCCCAGGCGTGGCTTATAGCCGTCCTGGCGCGTGCAGATGCATCCTCCATGGGTTTGTCTAATCCCCCTTTAGCCCGTCGAAGAGGGTGGCCCTTCACAGTCGGAGCCCATCGTTCCGTTGTGCCTTCCATGAGGAGCCACAACCCTTGTGTTGGCCCTGCCGTCCCCTGCCCTCCGGCTTCGTGGGAAGGCCCCACTGGGTTCCGGTATTAGGACGCGGGGGAAATATTATGCATCCCACATAATATCATACTCCTCTTGCACGTGTCCCCTTACCGCTTAAAACCCCCCACTTAACAGAGTCGAGCATCGTAGTCTTTCCTGGGGGATCACTGTAGCTCCTCCTTGAGGTCCGGTGACATACCTGAAGTTGCCCCCTTCCCTTTCCCAGTGGGCGCACCTTGGGGGAAAAGAGACGCAAGCTGCCAGGTAGGGGGCTGAAGGCACTGCAGCAGAAGTAGGATAAAACCGCCTCCTCTGCCGGGTCTCGCATGTCCAAATTGGCAGTCTGTCCACGGAATTCGACTCTCTGCCCCTCTGGACTCGATGGGGGCACTCCTGGGTCGATGGACACGGGGGTTGCAAAGCGGAAGTGCCCTTCGGGCCTGCTGTCTATAAGAAAAGGCCCCGTTGTTCAGAAGAGCTTTAGTCGTTTTTTTAAGAAGTTGTGCCATCTTGAAGGGGGACCGTGCTGGCACCTGGGGAAGGAGCGGGTGTGGAAGATAGGAGGCCGATTCGCTGCCTTTCGCCGGGGATTCATGCCTTCCTTCAGGCAGGAAGAACAAAGGCAGTGCTTGTTGTTTTGACTCATCCTCTCCCCACATGTTAGTTAACAAGTTGTTCTGTTCAATCATGTGAGGGCAGGGGAGGGGAGGCAGGAGAAATGCTTAAGTTGCGCTGGCCTGCAGAAGGACCCGTTGCTTTTTCTCCCGGGAGCCGTGGCTGGAGCAGAGTGCCCCATGGCAGAAATGCCCCAAATCGCGGCCGTTGGCCTTGTCCAATCAGAGGCTCAAAACCTGGTATTAAAAAGAGAACAATTCGATTACAGGGGATGGAGTTTCTTCACCAGGGACTAAGAAAAGGAGCGGAACAGCTCCTTTAATTTGTTAAACGTGTTTAGCAAAATGTGGCACGAATGTGTGGCAGGTCTTTGAGAGAGCTCCGTGTGCTCGCCGAGTCACACGCACAGCCAGTTTCTAAGCATCTTCACAGATATTGGCTGGTAAACAAAACACATCCCTGTAGCTTCTCCTAATCTAGCGTCCCCTTTCCCCTTCCAAATAGCCCCAAATGCTTGTTTAACCATCTTGTCAGGCTTTCAAACACGTGTTGTATTTTATTTGGAAGTTGTGGGTGTTTTTTTTTTTCTTTGCACTCCTTGATTAACTAACTTGATTTGTTCTCTGAAGGGAATTTGCCATGATGACCTTTTGAATGTTGCCATTGAAAAGAGATGTCCTTAGTTGGTCCTTTCTCTCGTGGTTGAGGGATTTATATGTCATATTTGACTTCGATTGGTCATCTTAAATAGGCATGGAAGGCATCTGTGATGCAGAACAAATTTCCACTTCCTGTTACCTCTCTGATATGTTCCTCTTTCCACCCTGATGCTGGAATTCAGGCGGCTTTTGGTGTTCATCGTGCGAAGATGTTTGTTTTAATTATACATCGGTTCCCATTACTTTGCCTACTCAAACGACATTCCACTCGGAGCCACACTTGCTTCTAAGTCAATAACAGCCCGTCTTTGGCAAACCCTAATTTTAGCTGTTTGAGCGAGTGCTTGTAGAA